TTTGATTATTCTAGACGGCTTTGACGAGTATTCAAAACAAAATTTCATCGTTAGTGATTCGGATGACCGATATCCGAATAGCGCCAAAGAGAAAATGCCAGTAGCAGCACTGTGTGCCAAGCTAATCAAAGGGAAAATCTTGAAAGATTCGGTTGTCATGATGACGTCAAGGCCCGATGAATACGATCAAGTGAAAGGTAAAATACCCTTTGATCGGTACGTTGAAATTACAGGGTTTTCCGAGGAGCAGGTGAAGAAATACATTGAAAAGTATTTCAAAGAAAACGAATTCATGAAGAATGCTGTAATGGATCACATCACAAAGAATGACAATCTTGTTAGCTTTGCCCACATTCCAGTTCTCTGTTCTCTGATGTGCTCATATTTTGAGTACATATTAAATGAATCGATGAACACTGATGCTCTTCCTGTCAGCATGGGTGACATCTATTCGGAAGTGATCAACATGTTTCTCAGAAAACATAGCAGAACGAAAGGAGCCCCTTCAGAGAAAACGCTGGATAAATTGTCAGAGTTTGCGGCTCATTTGCTCCGAAAGGAGAAGTATCTCTTCAGTGATGTTGACGACATGAAAATGTTTTCTTCCGAAGAAGTTGAAAGCCTCAAAGCAAGTGGTCTTCTCCATTGCGGTCCACCGTTTAGAAAATCATTTTCTGAAACGACGAAATATTTTTGCTTCACTCACTTAACTCTCCAGGAGTACTTGGCGGCTCGTTGGTTTGTGAAGCAAAGAGAAATTCCGTCTTACTCTGAAAATGCCTCAGGAATGGTATTGCAATTTATGTCTGGCATTCTATCAAAGCAAAACGACCACGCTTTTATGCGCAAATTGCTCAGAGGACTCATTCCAAGGACTCAGACTATGTATTCCGTAGAGTCACTAATAATGAAGTGTCTGGCTGAGTACCACGACAAAGAATTTGCACTAAATTTCGTAAAGGAATTTTATACAAAGCTTTTTCGTTTTGATACAACTATAGAATTTGAAGGGCTGCACTGTATCGCTTTATCTTTTCTGTTAGATGTCATCAGTACATTGAATGCAGAAGAAAAGGCTGACATGAATCAACTAACCTTTCAACAGTCTCACAGACCGTTAGGTAATCGATTAAATATTTTTAGGCGCATCGTCCCGTGTGCAGAGGGAACTGGTGAGAGGAGTCAAACATCCTCGTACCACTCAAGTAGAGCACCGGATAAATTATGTCTCTCTGACTGTCATATTACACAGACTGGAGTAAGACAAATATGTAAAGTTCTGAAGAACGAGCTCTGCAATGTGACTTCTCTTAACCTTTATAGATGTTCGATGGCAGACGAATGTGTTGTTACAATTGCAGAATCGTTGCCATCGACTAACGTGACGTACCTGTTTCTGTATAGTAATAAAATCACCGATGCTGGTGTTGCCAGTTTATGTCAAGCATTGCAAACAGCAGCATGTCAAGTCACCATACTTAACCTGGGTGAAAATCAGATCACCGATGCTGGTGTTGCCAGTCTATGTCAAGCATTGCAAACAGCAGCATGTCAAGTCACCATACTTAACCTGAGTGAAAATCAGATCACCGATGCTGGTGTTGCCAGTCTATATCAAGCATTGCAAACAGCAGCATGTCAAGTCACCACACTTAACCTGAGTGAAAATCAGATCACCGATGCTGGTGTTGCCAGTCTATGTCAAGCATTGCAAACAGCAGCATGTCAAGTCACCACACTTAACCTGAGTGAAAATCAGATCACCGATGCTGGTGTTGCCAGTCTATGTCTAGCATTGCAAACAGCAGCATGTCAAGTCACCGAACTTGATCTGGGTAGAAATCAGATTACCGATGCTGGTGTTGCCAGTCTATGTCAAGCATTGCAAACAGCAGCATGTCAAGTCACCACACTTAACCTGAATGAAAATCAGATCACCGATACTGGTGTTGCCAGTCTATGTCAAGCATTGCAAACAGCAGCATGTAAAGTCACCGCACTTAACCTGAGTGAAAATCAGATCACCGATGCTGGTGTTGTCAGTCTATGTCAGACATTACAGAAGGCGCAATGTCCAGTCGAGTTTTTGAACTTGTATGGTAATTCTCGGATCACCAGTGTTGGTGAGAGGTGTCTCAAAAAGGTGCGTGAGCGACAACCCAACCTTTACCTGCTTTGATTTCAAAAAAAGACTTGAAAGACAAATGATCAGCAATAGTTGTTTACAAAACCGCAAAATTATCGAAACAGTGTCAACAGATATTAAGAATAAATACCTTATATACTTTTAAGCATTAAACATTAAACACGTAAGATACTTTTTCCATGATTGCAGCTTCCAGAAACGTTCCTCAAAAGAGAATTTGTGTAAACCAAACTGATGAAAGGAGACATAACGAGTGAATCTTTGTATCTTTGGACTGATGGCTTTTTTAGCAGCTAAGAGACGATTCATTCGCCAAAAAATTGATGATATTGATAACGATGATAGTAACGCCTTTTAGAACGCTTTCTCTGCAAAAGCGCTTGCGCTTGAGAAAACGGATCCAATGGTTGAGATTAGAATTTGTATTTACCATTATTCAGTCGCTGAACTTCCGTGTACATATGCGCGGCTGGTTCGAAGTATTTTATGGGAAGCAGATTAGTGTCCATGTTAACTTGCTCGATGACAGGGTCTAAAAGAAATATAATTTCAAGGCCAAATGTCTTTTATTGATGGCATGGAACATGCGTTTTTCTCATCATGTCAAAATCGTGATTACACGCCGTGGTAAATAAACCATAAAAAGAAATTTTGCATTTTGTTAAATCTGGTAAACGATTATTATGGAGAATAACCGCTATGAAAAAGATTTTACACACCATTAACGAGCTTTTCAAAGGTATGTTTTACTGAGGTATTCTCAGAGGAACCCTTCTGTGGTAAAAGCTTTCGTTTCTTAATTAGGTTACGCAAAGAAACAGAGGAAACCACTGTAAAGTATAGTCATTGAAGGGTTTGAGCCTAAAAATCATAGTTTGCGTGTAAGTTTTTTTTGTGGATCGCGAATTCGCCACTGGGTCAATATCCTGCCAAATTGATCTTTCACTTGGTCAATAAAGCATTTATATATATTTGATTTGTTATCTTCTTGGAATTGGTTTTTTTTTTTTCAATCTCGAGCCCAGGGTCATTTCGGCTCATTTTCAGCTGTGCCGAAATGACCCTGGGCTCGAGATTACAAATCATTGTCTTTTGTTACTAAAAAAAGTCCCAGTCCCCTTCGCGACTGTTATACAATTCTCTCCTCAACAGATCAATTGTCAATCCTTGTATGGGCCAATCACT